CAGCGGAACAAAGCAAGCCAGCGCTCCTTCCCAAATGGCACCGAAGCTAGTGCGTTTCATTAAAGCACTTATCGAATAAGGCTGGAGTGGGGCCCAAAGCGAAGGAAAAGGTAGTAGGAGAAAGAATGCCTTTCCTCCACTCACAAACTCTTAACACACACTTGCAGACTTTCACGTAAAGGCTTCTAAGCTGTAAGATGAGTGAGTAATTTCGGCCAAAATTCTGGATTTTTTTCTTTGTTCAATTAAGGTGTTATACAGAATTTTCGAAAAACAAATCAAAAACGTGAACTGAAAGCTTACGTGGACGTGTGACGAGAAGCCGAGCAATGCCAACAAAATGAGCATTGTAAAATGCAGCACTTCTTAATCCACCATTTTGTACAAGGAAAGCTGCAAGTGCGCTACGCTTTCACAGTAAATCTTGCTCAGCATAAAATGAGAGTTGTTGCGCTTTTTCATGAAGCTACTGAAGCAATTCCCAATATTTGCGTGTACAAAACTATTAAAAACAAATTTTAATTATACAAATTCAGCATAAAACATATTTCACGTATCGAAACTTTCGAATTCAGGTTTCTTTTTTTCATTTTCAATTTTTATTTATTGCTATATATATTATTCATTGTTTTCACAATCTACTATTATTTATTACTAATTTCTTAGACTGGATACCATTTTTTAGAATAGGTATCATAAAGTAATTCATAAACTGGTGCTGGTCCTAGCGGATAGAGTAGTACCGGCAACATCCCTTCACAACAGATATGCACTAAACCAAAGCCTTATTTTAGCTAAAACTGTAACTTGACCGCTCGGGCCGGAGAAATTTATTATTTAAATTACCTGCTTACTTACTTACTTACTTATTTGAAGTCAAAAAAACATGACAGCCCACTGGCGTAATTCGGGCATTTTGTTAAATGTGAAGCGCAGCCAAGATTTTCTCAGCGGCAGAATTTTGGCGCATGGGTATTATCGGGCTAGCATCCAGATTTTAATGCAGAACTCGACTTACACCTGGAAAGGCTAGAATACAACGCTTAAGTTCTAGTTTTGGATTCGTTCTGCAAGCTAATG